CCCCCCCCAAAAAAAAAACATTCATGCAAATGCGTCTCGCCCGCCGAGCGGTCCCCAGCCCCGCAAAAAAAAACAGCTAAAAAAAACCCACAAAAACCGAGAAAACGAGGAATGAGAAATGAGAAAAAACTGTGCAGTTGGCGTTTAAAGGGAAATGGGGGTACAATTATCGTGATGATAACAAAAAATAATTGAACCTGCTGTGTGCTGAGGTCCAGGCCCACATAAGTTGGGCCCGTGTAGCTCATATTCACCGGACAAACTGGAACGCCTGGAAACGGTCTAAAAACAACAACTTGGAATTTAACTGTGAGAGTATGCGCAAGGCGGGACGTATCCAAACTGTTGGCCACAATTGATGGAAACTAAATTGTATCATCCATCCTTCCCCCCTTTGTGCCCCTGCCCCCTCCCCCCGGACCCTGTTGTGCCCCTGCTCCCTCCCCCCCCGGCCCCTTTGTGCCCCGGCCGCCGTCCCCTCCCCCTTTCGCCGAACCGCGGGGCATTTTTTCATCCGCGTGGGTCGTGTTGTACGGCCGAGAGCATTGCGCACATGCCCATTAATCTTTTGAATTTTCGAAAAAAAAAGGAGTGGAGTTTAATTTTGTAGCATAACATCCGTCGCACCATTCGTTATCTTATCGGGATTGTGCAATTGTCTGGGATATTGTTGGTGGGAGTGAGGGGATTAGAGGCTCGTCTTGGCGACGATGGGGACGACGAGGGGGCGCGGAGAGGGGGGCGAGGGGAGATAGAAGAAAGAGCGTTTTGCATTGGCAAAGTCCTTCCAGTGAGAGGTCGTTAGAATTTTTGGTAAATTTTGGGACTGCGGGGGGAAATTCACGCGGAAATGCCACGGGTTGAGGGATTGGGTTTATTTTTGTTGTGAGTTGTGAGATTTTTTTTTTATTTTGAGGAGAATTTAATTGTTTGGGGATAATGAGGCGATGGGGGACAACAAATACTTTATTTCCACGATTAAAAGTTCAGGTTTTGCGGAGTATTTAGGGGCCTTTTAGTTGATATTAAACAAATGGAAAATATAGTTTTTTCTGGAGAATTGAATTTTTTATGAAAAAACGCCTCTTGAATTTTTTTCCTCGAAATTAAATGGTTTTGAGGCATTCACAAGATAATGTTAAAGTTCTGCAAAAATTAGTGAACTCATCGATAAATATTGAAAAGGCCGCGGAAATAGTTATGGAGAGTTTATTAATTTAAAAGGGGAGAGAGAAAATATGAGAGGGTGAGGACAACCCGAAGCAAAACTAAAATAACAACAATAGAATAGTGGTAACTTTCAAAACTAAGGGAAATTAAGGGAGTTGAGGGGAAAGAAGAGAAAATAACGTCAAAATGGAAGAACGCCCCTGAGAGTTCGATATTCATAACAATATCAAAATATTTTAATTTAATTTAATCCAAATTAAATTAAATTATTTATTAAATTATTCCATTCATTACATTAAAATCATTCATTGAATTAAACTATTTTCTGAAGTATTCTCATTACTAGCATCATCAAAAAATATTTTTTTTAAATTGTTTGCGACTGTTCCCAAGACCCAACATTTTTCGTTCCTAAAAACCTCCTCAAATGCCTTCAAACCCTTCACATAATCAAAAAACCTCAGACCCCTTTTTTAAATCCCAAAAAGGTCCCCCAGTCCCCTCCCCCGGCCGCTTTATCGTCGAACCGCTTCCCCTCGGCATTCAATTTTCAATAGAATTGATTCTCCCATCGAGTTTCTGGTGCCAACCGGTCTTGATATCCCTCGTATACCAATTTCTGCACTTTGGTTTATCATATCGTTTCGTCCCCAATGTGTGTGAATGCACAGATAGATGGAAGAGGGGGAGAAAAAGAGCGCAGGAGCCATCGGGTAAGCGCCAAAGAGTGTCAGATGGGTAGAGTATTGCCGAGGAAGAGTCTAGCCCGATGGCGCGGACGAGCGTCGCGCCGACGACGGTTTAACTGGCGTCAAAGCACAGTCGAAACCGGCGCCAGCCAGTCAGCGTTAGGGACAGAGTAGCCTGGCCTCTGTTGGGGTACCCCTGGGTGAAGCCCCCGGAGGAGACGAGTCCCAACGTCCCGACGACGCCGAGGAGAGACGCCAAACCTCGGGGTTGACGCCAACGGGACATCCCCCTATCCTTGCCTCTCATTTTTTTTTTTCTATCAGTGTCTCCTTGTTTTCTTTGGCTTTGCTGATGTCCTTTTTTCATATCTCGACATCTCGTGTTTCAATTCGTCGATTTTAGGGGGGGTTTTAATCGCCGGGGGGAGGATGGGGCGCAGAAGGTTGGGAGAATGCAGAATGAAGGGATGCTTCTTGCAGATTCAGCATCTCTCCGGTTATTTCGCGAATATCTCGGGAACTAGCGGCTTTAGGAAAAATGAGTAGAGAACTTTTTTGTGAGAAATTGAATTCTCTACAGAAAATGTCTTATGGCATTTTCTTCTAAACTCCATAGTTTCCGAGATTTTTCTGGCGTAAGAAAACACTTTTTTTTGCATTTTCTTGTTTCAGAAATTTTTGGGTTTTGAGATCTTGGGAATATCTTGGAACCCAGTGGGTTTAGGTAAAAACTTCTAAGGACCTTTTTTATAGGAAATTAAATTCCCTACGAAAAATGTTCTACGACATTTTTCTCTAAACCTGCCAGTTCTCCAGATATTCCCGAAGTAATCAAAAAAATTTTTTGCTTGTCTTCTTTCGTCGCTCCCCTCCGCGCTTCTTCATTGTATCAGTGCGCAGTATCAGCGGACAATGAATATCATCCCAAGACACGAGTGATTGACTCCCCTGAAACAATATTATCAGACACGCACGGTGACAGGATCGACCGTCAGGCGCCTTCACCCCTAATTTTTCGTTACCCCATTGTTTTTTCCCCCTGAAAATACATTCGTGGGGGGCGCCAAGTGTTTTGACGCTTGTTATACGGTAGCATAAAGGGAATGGTACTCAGTGGGTATGGGAAGAGGAAGAGGATGATAAACAAGGAGATCCAAGTCGCCAGTCGGGCCAGCCGTCGGTGGCCCGTTGGAGCCTCCACCCTCATACCCATCCCGACTTTTCCACGTTTTCTCCCCCTTTTGCCCGAATCGTTCAACCGACTCTATTGGCTCCGATATGTGTGTGTCGTTTGCTCGGGGGGGAAGTCTGTCGTTACGAGTTGCCAGTTTACTCACCAAAAACATCGGGGGCATAAACCCCCTGGCCGGAGCAACAAAAACACGTTTTCGCATTCGTTGAATCGTTCACTTTCTCTCAATTCACGTCTTTCTATTTTTTTTCGTCATCAAATCTGCGTGCGAGGCTTGATAAATGTGTATTTATCACAATAATAATTGATTTTGTTGGACATTCGTTCTTATTAATTGCGTATTGAGAGTTGTCGTTCTCTCCTCTCCTTAGATTTTGAATAGGGAGCGAAGGGAGCGAGCGCATGCGCAGTGGCGGTGCTATCCAAATCTGACTACTCTTGATAAATCTGCAATTATCGCAGTAATGAGTGACTTTAAAAGAAAACATCAAAAGACATTTTTCGTTGGAACTATGTTCGGCTATAAAAAAGTTATGTGACGTTTTCTCCTCAAATCCCCCGTTTTTGAGATAAATTAACAATTAAAAAACTTAAATTCTGTTCATCATAGTGCACTACTGAATTTCATTAGAAATGAAACAAAATTTCATTTCTAATGAATTGAGTATTCAGAGTTGTCATACCCCCTCTCCCTACATTCTGAATGGAGAGCGAAGGGAGCGAGCGCATGCGCAATCGCAATGCCATCCAACTCTTGATGAATCTGCATTTATCGCAGTAATAAATGATTTTAGAAGAAAACATCAAAGGAATTTTTCCTTGAAAATATGTTCGGCTACAAAAAAATTCTGTGACGTTTTCTCCTATAATTTTCTGTTTTTAAGATGAATAAACAATTTTAAAAAATAGTCCCGTTTATTACAATGCACTATTCATACAACAACAATTTTCACTTTTTAATTTAAGAGAAAAAGAGGAAATAAAATTTCGGGGCATCTAAAAAAAATTATTTTAGGAAGAAGGAGAAATAATGGGAGTAGAAAGACGATTTTTTTTTTCAATTTCATGTTAAATTTACCAATCTGTTTATGTGTTCAGTCACTGGATGGATTCACCAGGAGGAGGTGGGGTTTTGTAAAATTGATGGGGGACGAACGAGACAGATAAAAAGGGGGATGGAAATTTCGTCGCGAGGAGCATTCAGAGAGGGGTAAAAAGGCGCCTTCTCTTTGCACCACCCACGAGTTATCCAGCGAAGAATGGTGAACCGGCGCCAACTGGCCAACAACGTCGCGCCTACATCCCCCTTACAAATAGGGGTTGCGGAGGGAATTCTGAATCAGTTTAGTGGCCACTGAGTTGTACGACTGTTCGGGTCTTGAGAGTGATCAGCAGTGAAGGATTTTTGTGGTTTGGATTGAGATTGAAGGAGAATGCAAGTGAGTTTTCATTAATTAGTGATGTGAAAGAACCAAACGGACTTTTTCATTTGCGATTTCCCCCGGAATTAACGGTTTTATCGAAAAATATGAGAAAATATTTTTTGTTGGAAATTTTGTCAGCTACAGAAAAGTCTTCTGACGTTTTTTGATAAACCTGATGGTCTCCGAGATATTTGAAAAAATGTAGACGCTGGAAAACCTCGTTGATTGCTCGTTGATTGCCGCTTTTGTTTACCAGTTTAACACCGCAGTTATCTCGGTAACTATAGAGTTTAGACGAAAAAGTCAGAGGACATTTTTGTCGGAAATTTTCTCCTCTACAAAAAAGTTTTTGTCACATTTTCCCCTAGAGTCACTCGCTCCCGAGATATTTACAGACATATCAAACTTAGCGGAATCACGCTTAAGAGGATAATTCCCTTCCCTGATTGCGTAATTATCTCGCTAATTATTGGGTTTAGAGGGAAACGTCTGGACTTTTTTGTCAGAAATTTCATAAACCGGAGAAATACTCTGACATTCTCTTCTAAAAGTCCTCATTACCAAAATAATTGTTAAATTATGAAAATTTTTGCGTTGAAACCCTGATATTTCATCAATTCCCCGAATTAATTACTAATAATTCGTTAATTTCTGCTTGTTATTCACTTAGAGAAGTTGAATTTGAATCCCTAGAATTACAAAATCCATCGTTTTCACGGGTATTCTACCATCAAAACCCGTTTTCTAAAATTAGCCAATTTATGAGCGACGACCTACGAATGCCTTTCTTTTGCCTTCCCCTCTCCCACTTTATCATTGGGATTCCTTTCGTCTTGAGCGTTCAAAACCTTCTTTCTCATTCCTCGTATCACGTAAAACACGCACATTAACCATACTATTTTACCCCCCTCCTCCCCCTCACGGACGGTACTACGTGTTTCCGCACGTCCAACACGTTGTTAAACACAACATAAACGAAGGGAAATTATTCCCATTTTTATCCCCGAGGGACGACAACTATTTATTTGGAGAGGGACCCACTGTTGATATTGGATTCCAAACGAACCGACGAGGGATAAAATGTTTAAAATTCTTGAGATATTTAAATTATGTTCTTAAACAGTCGTAAATAGTCTTCGCGGTTTCAAACAGAAACAACAATTTTTTTTGTAGACGAGGAGAGTGATTACGCTGTTATACAGCTGCTGAGTGAGTTTAGGGAAAAATTTTGAAAGTTTTTTTCAGAGAATTTCATCCTGAAATAGTGAAATGATTATATAATTAGTAAATGCATCACACAAAATTTGCAGTTGATATAGGTGTTGGAGAAAAGTGAAATTATCTCGTTAATGAGTGGATTTAGGGGAAAATACCATACAATCTTTTTTGCAGAGAATTCCATGCTCTAGAAAAAAGGTCTTATGAGATTTTTCCCTAGATCCACGCGTTCTCGAGTTATTTCCAAAATTATAAAAACCTGAAGACCGTTCCACTTGAAAATTAAAAATAAACCGGAAATTCAGGGCCGAAATTTTTTGTTCAATCATTTTCCTATCATTTCATTTGTGTTCTTCACTTTTCTAAAATAATCTCCTCCATTCGCCAATTTTCCAATAATTATTATCATTCCAACGAAGAGAAGAGCGTGATAACTAAACTAGAATAATAGTGAAAAAATCGAAAAATTCCAATTTCAAAAATTTAAAAATTTCCTCGCGCCCCCGGACGATCAATCATTTCCCTACAATTTCACTTGTGTTCTTCAATTTGTAAAATAATCCCCTTCATTCGCCAATTTTCCAATGATTATTGTCATTCCAACGAAGAGAAGAGCGTGATAACTAAACCAGAATAATAGTGAAAAAACCGAAAAATTCCAATTTAAAAAATTTAAAAATTTCCCGGCGCCCCCCGCGATGATCCAGAGTCCTCCCCCGACCGCCATCTTCGGTTCTCCACCTCCACGCGAAATAAAATCCCGATCTACAGCATTAAATCGACAGTCCCCCCTCCGTCCGCTCCTGCGCGCGCAGTCTTCGCGTGAGCGGTGCGGCGCCAAGCCGGGGGCGTTGGAGGGAGAGACGTAGACTCGTGACGGCCCTGGACCTCGTGTGTGGCTCTAGTAAGTCCGAGTGCCTGGTGTACGGCTGCGGCTCGTACACCACTTGTTAAAAAAAAACCCGTTAAATCGTCACCTCCGGGTGCTTTCTAGTATTTTTATCCGTCTCCCCAAGTTCCCAAGTGTCTCCACCCCCTAAAAATACCCCCAAAGAGCCCCCGACTGCGTTTAAAAACCACTGGTGACACCAACTGAAGAGCCCCGAGTGAAAAGGAAGAAATAACTGAAAGTTTGTACGTTTTCTTCTCTCGATCAAAGTCAATTAAAATTCTTTTTGTCTCTCCCTCGCGGCCTCTCGTCACTACTTTTATCTCGAATCCCCTCGGTTAATCGCAAACAACCAATCCCCCAATCGCATTGTATTTAAAACAATTCGCGCGTGTGTGTTTATGTGTATGTGTATGTGTGTGTGTGAAATGTAAGTTGAACTATTATTCACTCCGCGTTGATACTGATACAGATATAGAATCATTTTTTGTTGTCTCAATGCAGATATAGATATTTATTTTATCGTCAAATAGTACGAAAACGGCGTCGCGACGTCGGTGCACTCGACCCCTCGCCGTTTTCTCTTTCTTCAACGTCGTAAATACGGGATTTTACTTGTTGGTTTTTGAATCGCGTGCGGGGAATTCATTTTTAGGCGGCTGGAGGAGTAACGAGGGTGTCGCGTCGAGAGGGGTTCTCCGGATTTTCGTCGGGAGGAGGAATTTTTCGGGGAACGTGGGGTTGACTGTTTTTTATGGAGTCCCCTCTTGTCGATGGTAATCTAGGGTTCGGGGGAATTGATTTTGAATTCGGTTCGTGAACTTTTTCAGTGCAGCTCATGAGAAAATGTGAGAAGTCTTTTGGAGAAGAAATTTTTTATCGGAATTCTCTTGACGTTTTCTCGTTGAAGCACTTGTCCAGGGAAATCGATGAGAATTATCTCGGTGAGAAGGAGTTTTGGAAGTAAATGTCAAAAAATATTTTTGCGGAGAATTCCATTCTCCAGTAAAAATTTTTTGTGACATTTTCTGATTGAAGTACTTGTCGTCGGGGTAAATCAATGATAATTGATTGTTGAATTCAATTCGGTGTAGAGGCACCTCTTATCGAGATGAATCGACGATTAGTTATTGATCATTCGATCCGTCTCAAGTGTTTTAAACCGAATTTACTTGATATCGCGTGGTTTTAGAAGAACAAGTCCAAATACATTTTTGTAGACAAATTAATTCTCCACAAATAAAAATCTGTAACATTTATCTCCAAAACCACTCCTTACCGAGATAATCCCACCTTTAACCCTCTTCAACCGAATTTCGTATTGAAAATCCCATTTTCCATCTCGTTAAACATCAAATTATCTCTGTAACGAATTCCTAAACAAAAAATATCAAATTACACGTTCTGCAACGCCGAAATTGTCTCGAAAAATTCCTCCTAAACTCCCTCCTCACGAAAACAATTCCAAAACCGTGAAGTTGAACCTGAAAGAGAACAATAAATTTTATTCGCCTTATAATTCAATTGACTACAGTTTAATTGATTAGATCAGGCTGATTAAACTTCTTTTTTCATTCGATTGAAATTCAGCATCACATTTGCATTTTGCTGTTTCATTTTATTTTCAATTAATCCATTGACAAAATCTTCTCCCGGTGGGGAGGGTGGGGTAAAATGGACACTTTCGACTTTCCTTTAATTATTCATAACTCAGAAACAGATTTATCAATTGAGCTCAGTCCAAGCTCATCACAAAGTCAAAAGTGCCCATTTTGCCCTACCCTTCCCTACACAAAAATTAATAAACAATTGTTTTGCTTGAACTGCGTCAAACAAGTAGTTTTCCGACAGTTCCATTTTGCCCCGCCCTCCCCTACCTCAAAAATAAATCAGTAGCGAAGTGGTAGAACGGTTCAAGTCAGTTTTGACTATTGACCAGTTTTCAATAAATATCTCGGAATCAAAGGGCAATAGCAAAATTTTTATTAGAACCTTTTTTGCAGAGCCGATTGAGAGCTACAACAAATGTCATAACGAAAATTTCGCTACTTCCCTCAGATTCGGAAATATTCCTCAAAAACCGAATTGGCAGACAAGTCGACTTGAGCCGGTTTCCCACTTCGCTACTGAACCGAAAAAATCAAAAGCCCTCACAACTAATCCCCGAATTTTCTCTCCCCCAGTGAATGGCGACAGTCCACGCCGCCCGGCCATCGAGCTCTGCTAGCCGCCCCCCACTCTAACCCGAGGACCCCCTCCCCCTGAAAACTATGCCCCCCCAAAAATTATGTCAATCGCTAGTCGAAAACTAATGAGTGATAGTTGGAAATCAGTGTTATGCGGTGCCAAAGCGCCGACGGCGGATGCGGTGGCGACGATAAAGACGAGGGCGAAGAAGACGAAGAGGATCATTACAAGAAGAAGGCCAAGACCGAGAAGAAGACCAAGAGCCGAGCAGTCCCAGTCAATTCCAGACGCCTCACCCGTGGCCTGAGCGACTCCCCAGCGATCTAAAGCAATCCCCAAACAAAATAGCTGAAAAGGCCCCAAAAGCCCCCACGAGCTCACCATTTCCCCACCGTAAAAAAGCTAAAGTACTGGCACCCAAATGCACCTGCGGCATATCCTGTTTCATGTTCATGTTCTGGAGCAAACGTACGGTATTAACTAGACGTCTGCTAAAGGCCAAGATCCACCGGGAGTATGAAACCGAGTGTGAGACTCAAGGGACTACATCAGCGCAAATTAAAGTACCAACTGTTACCTCAGGTCAATTAAATGACACAACGAGCAATAGAGTAGCTGTCGCATCGACGGGGAGTGATTGTGGGGGTAGGAGAGATCTTCCAAGAGAGATTGCCGACAGGAGTGTTGTCAACAGACTCCACCAGGCCTGTTGTGGTGGAGTTGAGGAGGACAACGAGGATTTGGTGGATGGACGATTGTCGAGGTGCAAGGAATTACTCAAAGCCCTCAAGGAGAATCAGCTGGAGATGCTGGTGACATCGGTGGAGAGCTGTGGGGCTGATCTCGCTGGCTGTGTTCTCGTCAGGAGGATCAACAGCAGCAGGGACGAGCAGCAGGATCACTACAGGAGGCACAGGCACCTCAGCAGAAGTGCCAGGCACCATCATCCCCTGAGGCACAGACACTCGGACACTAGGCAGAGGTCCAAGTGCAGGCATTGTGAGATGAAACATGTGAATAGTGCGGGACAGGAGGAGGACGATGAGGGCACTGGGGGGGACGATGTGGCTATTGTTAATGTGGTTAATGTTGTGAATGAACCTGCGAATTTACTCGCTTGTCAGATGTGGAGGTGGCCCGATCTGTCTCAGTCGAAGGATCTTAAGAAATTACCAGTGTGTCATTCCGCAATGGATTCTTCGTATGTCTGCTGCAATCCGTATCACTGGAGTCGACTTTGTAAACCTGGTAAGATCGTAACTATTGTTTTACATTCATTTTAGGTTACTAGGGGAGGTTGGGGAAAACGGACCCCTTTGACTTTTGCTTAAATGTTGATGGGGGGTTGAAATGTTGATAAAATTTAATCTTTTTTTTTTCAATATAAAGAACGATTCTTTCCCTTTGTGACGAGCTTGAACTGAGCTCAATTGATCAATTTGTTTCTGAGTTATGAATAATTTGGAAAAAGTCCAGTGTCCGTTTTACCCCACCCTCTATTTTATTGTAGTGAGTTGTTAATCCCTCACGTATGGGGTCGGTGCCATGCATTCACCCAGGAAAATGTGAATGGCTCTCTTTAAAATTGATTATTTTCAAAACTATGGAATTTAACTCAACTAAACGCATAACAACGGAAAAAGGAATACTGTAGCTTCAGTTACATATCGGGTTCGTAATTTTTCGTTGATTAAAAATTAAGAGGGAACTAGTAGAATATTCGTCAGGGGAAAATTGAATTTAATTGAATTTGTTTCAGCTTCACATGTCTTATTTACATTTTGTTCCCTTCCCTTTAACACTTAATGCAGGTACATAAATATCAATAATAGAATTGGAGTTGTAATCGGTAAACAAAAACATGAGGGCCATGAAGGCTGTAATCGAAACTTGTAACGGTATTTTGACTAGAGTTTAGTATTAAAAAGTTTAGTATTAACAACAGTATTTCACAAGGCATTATCGGTATTATTATTGCTATTAGAAGCAATTTATTGTTCCCCTGAGATACAAAAGATGAAAACGAAATAATTTGGGATAAATTCAGGAAAATGTTCATTGGAAATTTTGCACAATTTATTCATTTTAAATCCCGACGCACTTTGAATAGTATAAATGCACTTAAATTGTGACGAGTTCTCGCATTTTTTGTCCTTCATTCATTTATTCTGCAGAATTAAAACTAAATCGAAATATCAACCGTTGCGAAGAAAACCTTTCTCTTAAAATAAAATTTGAAGAATTTCGTTCGATTGAAAGGACTCAAATGGGTTTTTTTAATTGACGTAGAATATTCTGAATTCATTGAGGAAAAGTGAGCATTGAAAATTAGCCTGACACTCCATCGTGTACTCTACATAATCAGTTTATTTGTTTTTATCTTGAAGTGACTTCGCATAAATCATTATCGAATTTCCAGTCGCACACGTATTTCTCGCAAGTGTTCTGTCAATGAATCGAGAGATAGCGGAATTTTCATAAATCAAGTGTTCAAAAAAATAGTACTAGGTCACGAGAAATTGATTCATTTTTTTTTCCTCGATTTCTTTTCCATTTGTTGATGAATTTCCTGTTGAGAAGGCTCTGTTTGTTCGAGGGAGGGGGAGGGGGGAGGGCGAGGTGTTTTGGAAGATGATTTGATGATCATTTCAATTAGCATTGGGATTAAGAGTTGCCGGTGGCAATGGTCATCCAGACGGAGTAAAGCAGAAGGGATAAAACGTGTAGTGGATTGACGACACTAGGCGCCATGCTTTACGTAACGACGTGTTTTGAAATCATTGTGATTCTTTTCCTCGGTATAATGGTAATCGGTGACAGTCTGCATACGATAAAAACAGAATTTCAAATTGAATTATCGGCTTATCGTAATGAAAATAGGAAGTACTTGGTTTCTGGGGATTTACGGTATTATGATCTAGTTCAGTTTTGCGCGGCTTTATCTCGTGAGCTAGTGGTCCTACAGGAAAATGTCACAAAGCATTTTTGCGGGGAATTTAATATTCTACAAAAAGTTCACGGAGTGTTTTCTCCGGAATTCACTCATTACCAAGATAATGAAACTATTTATCAAAGTAATTTTGGAAAAACGAAAAGTTGTGGAAGAATCCCTTTACCTTCGTTCCCAAATATCTCTAGAACGACAAACCCAATTAAAAAATTCATAAAGATCTTTTTTGTAGAAAATTAAATTCCCCGCAAAAACTTCCCGCGACATTTTTCCCTAATCCCAGACCCTGACGAGATAATAAAAAAATAAGCAAAAAACGTGTAACACCAACGACGCAATTCCTAAAAATCCCTTCAACTTCGTTCGCGAATATCTCCAGAACCCCCCCTCCGATCAGAAAACCCCTCAGGACCTTTTTTGTATGAAATTAAATTCCCTACAAAAACTTCTCGACGCATTTTCCCGTAAACCCTCCCCCTCCCGCGATACAGCCCAAAACCCCCGAACTCTCGTCATTCTCCATCGCCGAAGAAAAGGGAAAGGCGTCCGCGAGGTTTGGCGCGTCCGCGGGGGGTCGGGACGCGGGGGAAATATCATCGAAGCCGTGCACCGAGGGAACCGGCCGCGACCGGTGGGAGAAAGAAAATCCAAAACCCCACCGAAAAAGAAATAACGAAAGAACGAAAAGAGGAGTAGAAGCCGGTTGTTTAGCGGTTGTACGACGTAGAGGGGAACAGGAAAGGGGTGGGGATGCCGCCACCGCGTGTCATTGCTGGCGCCAGCTAATTGTCGAGGCCAGCCAGCCGGCGCTAGTGAGGAGGATACCACTTTGCGATCAGACTGAAACATCATACTAAAAACACACACACACACATTCACGCGCGCGCACGCACAATTACATCCCGAGATGATACATATATTTTTTTCTCCTTTCGCATTATATTTTGGGGATGATGTGTAAACGGTGTATGAGATATGAGAGATGATGATGACTTGAGCCACGGATATTTGTTTTTGCAGAGTCGCCACCGCCCCCGTACTGTCTGATACCGGCTGAGAGAGTTGCTAAGCAAGAAGGTAAGGATTTATTTATTTTATCTGAGGGGGATATGATTTTTAGAGGAAACTCGGCGCCTAAATGTCCGACGAGTGATTCCTTATAGCGAGCGGCTATTATTACACGTACCGGTAGCTCTTGCACTTACGAGTGCCCCCTGGGGTGGGGTGAGAAATGCCGAGACACGGGTTTTGGGGAGATTTTCAGTTTTTGGGAAAGGTCTCTTGATGTTTTTTTTGAGGGGCCGAGGGGTGAGAGGTCATTGGAAAGGCTGGGGAGAAGGAAAATTATTTTTGTGGGGGGGTTAGGGGGTTTAGTTTAGTATTATTTAATTTCCTGGAACTGCTCGTTTGATTTAACTGAATCGTTGGGTATTAGTTATTCGATTTGTCTTAATTTATTGTATTAATGAGTGAGTTTAGAGGGAAAAGTCATAGAACCCTTTTTGTGGGAAATTTCAAGGGCTAAATTTGGTCTCCAGACATTTTTTATAGAGAACTAACGGTTCTGAAGATATTCGCGAAATAGTGAAAGAATACCATTTAAACTCGTTTTTCTCATATCGAGGGATAATTCTTTGATTAACCTTCGAATATCTCACTAATCACTAGCTTTACGATAAAGAGTCATATATAACTTTTTGTGGGGAATTTCAATAGCTAAATTTGGTCTCCAGACATTTCTCCAGCAAAGCCAACCGCTCCCAAGATACTTCCGAAAGTGTTCAAGTGTTTCGCAAAACTTTTCAATTATCGAATTGCCCCTCGTAAAGGTAGCTTCTAAAAAACTCAAGAGACCTTTTCAAGCCCTTGAACAAAAAACTCGTTACCCTTCTCTCCCCAATTACCATTCCCCCAACTAATCCCCATTATTTTCCCTCAGGTGCCGTGCAATCCAGCCAAACGGAGGCGCGTGGAAATGCCGCCGAGCCCTCGCGACTTCCGGACTCGTTAACCACCGACGGTGAAGGTAATGTGATTCTTTTTTCAATCGTTAATAAAAGTAAACATCCCAGCGGGGTAACGAATTCCTGAAAAAAATTCAAAACAACATATTTTCGTTGCGCGGCTATCCCAACTCCTCTCTCTCTCCGGCCATTTCACTACACATCGTACCCCCGTTCTATTTTTGTCCCTGAATACGCCGTCCGATAGTCGATACTACCGTGGCAGAGTCACAGTCAAACGCGCGAGAGTCGAGGCTTCTATTCACATTTCGCCGAAGAAACAACGGGAAAAAAATTCAAGAGAACGGGGCGAGGAGAAGAGAAAATAACGAGAAAAAGAAAAACGAAAAATCATGTTCTTTTATCTCATCTCGGGCTGAGAGAATGGGCGCGATGAATGGAATTTTTTCGTGGAAAATGTTGAGCCGGAGTTGACCAGTTCCCCTCGAAAATTTTCGTCGAGCCGACGATGAGTTTTGAAGCGGCCGGGGGGAGCCGGCGGGGGGAAGGAAATATGGAGGGCAGCATACAAGAGAGGCCTGGCGCCAGACAGCTGCCGTGTGTGTCTCGTCGGCGGGTACGAGCCCGACCTCCGTCCGCTTTTCCCTCCTTGAACATTTTACGGCTTATGGAGAGGTTGCCATTCATTTTTCCATTCAATTGGGGTCTTGAGTGGAGACATTGAGACACTGAAGACTCGAAAAATCTGATGTAATCCTTTACCGTGTGAAGTCGAGGGTTTTTTCAATTTTATTTTGGGAATATCTCCTGAAGTACTGGATTTGAGGGGAAATTGCAGAGGACATTTTCTGTGGAGAATTGAATTCTCCGCGGAAAAGGTCTTCTGAGATTTTCTCGTAAACCGAGGACTCTCGGAGATATCTGAAGAGTAATGATGGATGTCAGGAGGACATTCTGAATAAAACTTGTCCACGCAATTCGCAAATATCTTAAAAACCGTTAGTTTTAGAAAAAAAATGTCTGAAGACCGAATTGAGCTCTTGAAATTTCCCACAGTAAAAGTCTTATCACTTTCTTCCCTAATCCCGTTAATTACAGAGATATTCGAGGATTTCTCGTGGGAATAAATCCGTTTCTGATATGAGAATGACGACCCCAAAACGCATTCTTGCAATTTCGAAAATATTTGCAAAACCGTTAGTTCCATCAAAAAAACGTCGGTAGACCAAATTTAGCTCTCAAAATTCCTCGCAAAAAGAGTCTTATGACATTTTCCCCTAAACCCAATACCTCCCAAGATTACTGCCCCTCAAACCCTCTCCCCGATGTCGCCACCCCACACCTCCCGAATTTCATGAATCAACCAAAAGTTTCGTTGCGCCCGGGGTTTACGCTCGGTTATCCATCAAAACTCTCTCGTGAATGGTCGGAATTGCCCAGCAACAGGTCGCCGTCCGTTGCGCAAGCGCCAGTCCCTCAACTCCCCAAAAAATCCCTCAAAAAAAACCTCAACAAAAATGATTCCCACATCCGCAAATCTGCCCACAAAATCGTGATTCTCCGCGTTTCGTATCTTTTCTCCTCGTATTTATGGTCCTGTATTATTTCGGTACGAATCAGAGTCAGTCCCTCTCTATCTCCCGAAGAATCTCACCGTTTTATCCCTCTCTGTTTACAATTTTCTCTCTCTTTTTCTCCCTCTCTCTCTCTCTCTTGCTCGCACTTGCCGTTAATCCAGCGCCAAAGAGGAATGTGTCCTGGCGCCATCGTTGTGTCGTCGACTCTAACCCGAACCGTATATAACGAGTATTTTAGAATGAGTGTGTGCGTTATCCCCCTGTCCAGACACACACTCGAGTTATGATAGTTTCCTTTCAGTTTAAAATCCTAAAAATAATCCTCATGGACTTTAATCGGTAACCGAATGGCTTAACCAATGTGCACGTAGGAGCTATCGAAAATATGAGGGAGAGAGATGCTGGATACTTGGCATACATTGACGTTTGATTAATAGCCAATGTGTAATTACGGGGGATTTAATTAATTCGCGAGGTTTACGGTTCATAAATGGACTGGGGATTTTAGAATAGCGGTGGGGTAGTTCTGCGTGGATATCTCGGGACCTGGGGGGTTTAGAGGAAAAAGTGATATGAGGTTTTTTGGGGGAAATTTCGAGAGCTAAAAATCATGTTTGAACGTTTTTTTTGTAATTCCAATGGCTTTTTAGATATTTGCGAAAATGTGGGACGTTGTTTTGGAGCGGGATTTTGAGGACGGGAGGGTTTTGACTTTGAATTCCTCGAGAACTCGGGGGCTTAGAGGAAAAAGTGGTAGAATAGTTTTTGGGGGAAATTTTGAAAGCTGAAAATTGACTCTCAACACTTTTTTGATAACACTAACGGTTTTGGAGATACTTGGGCCATTGGGGGGAAGCATTTTTGGGTAGTTTTGTTTCGAGGATTTCTTCTTTGATTAATCTTCGAATAGCTCGGGAACTAGTGGGTTTACGGGTAAATATTACGGAATATTTTTTGTAGGAAATTTTAAGAGCTGAATTTGGTTTCTTGACATTTTTTTGCCAAAACTAATGGTTTTGGAAATGCTTGGGGAATTATGTGAGGAATGCATTTTGGAGTAATTTCATTTTGAAGATTTCTTCCTTCATTAATCTTTGAATATCCCAGCGAAAAACTGATGACATTTTTTATGTATAATTTCACGATCTAAAAATCATCTCCGAACATTTTTCCACAAAAACTAGTGACCCCGGAGATATTCTTCGAAATCCCAGTAAATTCTCCCATCCCCCCAGAAACAAAAAAATGTCTTCTAAGTCTTTCCAATAAACCAAAAGATGAAGAAAAATCCCACTTTAAAATTATCAACCCCCGTTCTGCCCCATTAAAAAAATTTCTCCCGCATAAAAATCCCCCAATAACCCCTTCCAACCCCCAGAAATGAAAAAATAAAATAAAATAAACCTGTTCCCAAGTCCTTTCAATCTTCCCAATAAACCAAAAGATGAAGAAAAATCTGCAAAACCAAAAATCCCACTTTAAAATTATCAACCCCCCGTTCTGCCCCATTAAAAAATATCTCCTACATAAAAATACCCCAATAACCCCTTCCAACCCCCAGAAATGAAAAAAAAAAATAAATAAACCTGTTCCCAAGTCCTTTCAATCTTCCCAATAAACCAAAAAATGAAGAAAAATCTGCAAAACCAAAAATCCCACTTTAAAATTATCAACCCCCGTTCTACCCCATTAAAAAAAATTCTCCTGCATAAAAATACCCCAATAACCCCTTCCAACCCCCAGTAATGAAAAAAAATAATAATAAACTTATTCCTAAGTCCTTTCAATCTTCCCAATAAACCAAAAGATAAAGAAAAATCTGCAAAATCAAAAATTCCAATTTAAAATTATCAACCCCCGTTCTGCCCCATTAAAAAACCATCTCCAGCATAAAAAACCCGGGTGATTCCCCAAAGAACCTGAAAAAAAATGCCCAATGCAGCGACAAGAGGCCAGCATTTAGAGCCGGGTAAAATAAACGTAGGCCGTTCTGCCTGTCGAGCGTTGGCCGATCGGCCTGGCAGCCGTTTCACAAACTGGGTGGTAAAACAAGAGGAATGAGCGAAGAGGGGCGGGCCGGGGGGGCGAGAGAGGGGCGATACGTCCGAAGGAGGAGGTTAGCCGGCGCCTGGTATGTGGCGCCTCCACTGGCGTAGGACCCACTCAATTCGCCTTTTTACCGTTCAACATCACCTCCCGTTTCCCTCAAAAAAATTCCGAGCGGCTTCTACACCCATGCGAATTGTATCAGAACCAATAAATGTATGATACTTATGTATTTATTCTCGATCGTACGACGACTGGTCTTTTCCCGTCAATGACACTCCTCGAGTTCCCTCTCCCCGACGAGTGTTTAACGGAATTCCATTGGCAAGTGCGATAAACAATCTAATGAGAATAGAATCGAATGCACGTTCGCCTTTTTTGATGATCAATTTTTTTTCGAGGGGGGCTTGAGGGGAGCGTAAGGCCGTAGGAAGGACATAGGTCACCTGCGTCGAAGCTGCATAACGGACGCATTCACCGATGCTCAGAGTGTGGGGATAGTTGTGTGGCCTCCTTGTTCATTGTTTCATTATTCGTTTTTAGTTATTGAGGGGGGAGAGGGTATTTGACTCAAGGAATGCATTTTTTTCGATATTTAAGAGATTGAAATCACATTTTTATTGAATGAAAATCAATTTTTTTTATTAAGCTTCCGAGCCCCTTTCGGGCGGTTTCAGCTACCAATAAATGTTTTACAATTTACCATTACATATCCGCAAAATATATAAATTGTAATATACTCTTAATGTTAGTTAATTAGTTGGTGTCTTTTTTAAACATATTTTATATCTGAATTGAACAATTTTTGAAGAATTTTGAAATACGAAAAGTTTTATTGGCGGTATTTCGTGAATATCTGGACAACCGTTGGGTTTACGTAAAAATGTGATACTAATTTTTTCTAGCCCGTGGAATTATCTACCAAAAGTCTATTTAAAATTTTTCTCTAAACCCAGTAGTTCCAAAGATATTTACAAAATTCTAACGCTCTACTTTGAACGAAGAGAAATTCAAAATTTTCATCCCCAAAATTTTCATCCCCAGAATTTCGTGAATATCTCAGCAACCATTGAGCCCAGATAAAAATGTCAAAGGAACTTTTTGTAGCTCACAAAATCCCCCACAAAAAACTCCCCCAACATTTCCCTCCCCACCCCCTCCATCCCCACTTATTCACAAAAGAAACCCCATTCATTCTTTGAAATCCATTTCCTCCTTCTGCAATTCGTTTCCATCAATTCAAAAAAATCCCCTTAATATCCCCAGTGACTCCATCGAAGAACACGTCTTCCACCCCTTAATAAACCCCTCCCCCCCGACTCCCTCCCCCTCAAACCCCCTCATTAAATCCCGAAAGATCATTTTTTCCCAAAATCTATCAATTCCAAAAACTTGGTCAACATCAGCCTCAACATCACGTCGCCAACGGACGTCCTTGCGCCTGTTGGTAACACACACACCACAAAACACTCATTCCAAGGGGGGTGGGGTGGGGGGAAGGAGGTAACCCTCATCGTCTCCATCCGTACACCGATGACGTAATCGTCACGATAGCCCGCAATCTTGGCGCCGTGTTAAACTCGTAATATCTATTTTTATCACATGGAAGGCATCGTGCAAGTAAAATGCCTTTTTTTATTTTCATTTTTCCCCACAAATTTGTCATTAACATGTGTACGCATTTGCCCAGCCCTGCATGCCTACCCCCCACCCCCCCAACGCCGACCCCTTCAACAAGTTGAAGAATTTGCATGCATCAACTGCAGTATCTGACCCCAGCGGTGGAGTTTATCGCCGGGAAATTGTATTTCTGGGGTTTTTTTGGCTGTGGTGCATTCGTCGATGGGGAAGTGAGCTGGAAACGGCCGATCAAATCGTCATTAATTGCCAATTGTTGTTGTTTTGATAATTTTGTTTTGGGAAATCGTTTTTACGTGGATTTTTCATCAGACTTTCAGGCTGCCGAATATCTCGGAAAGTACGGGGTTTAGGGGAACAATTGATACGGCACTTTTTGCAGGGAATTTCATGAACTAAATTTGGTCTCTTGACATTTTTTTTTCTAAACCCACCGATTTTGGAGATATTCGTGAAATAGTACGGGAATTCCTTTTTACGTTCTACCACATTACAAGGAATTATTCTCTACTTAATCCTCAAATATCTCAAAAAAGATTGCATTCAGGCGAAAAACCGACTTTCCATTTTTTCCGTGGAATTTCAAAACCTACATTTGCTCTCCCGACATTTTTCCCTTAAAACAAATTCCCCCCGAGATATTCGCTCAGTAACTTTCACTCAACTATTTTCGACTGGTTTTTCATCATTCGAAGCAATTATTCCGTAAAAACCTCGACCACTGGCTCCAGACGGAAAAAATCAGGGGATATTCTCCGCGAACAATTTCAAAACCTCAAATAAACCCCCCGAACTCCATAAAAATTCGCCAAACGATAATTTTCCCAGCGAGTAAAAAAACCCAATTCTTCCGTTAAAATTCTCGTCGCATGATCGATTTTGTCGATTCTCTCTCCCGATGTGTATAATGATGATGATAATAATCATAAGTAAGGCATGTGGTTCTTGAAAAATACATGTGTATGTGGTATACATATGTGTGAACTGATGCCCCAGCCGTATGCAATTTGCGTGATCCGACGTAGGTTGTTAGGGCCGCCGCCACTCTCGGTCGAGCATTATAATTTTCGCGGCGAGACGAGCAGTTTTTCTACGCAAACTGAACGACGAATATGATGGCGGGGAAGAGGAGGGCTGAGGGGGGTGGGGTGCAGAGGGGAGGTGGTTTTGGTTGGGTTTTGTACGGGGAATGGGGCATGGGAGGGCAAAACGAAAAATATTTCTGTGGCAGGCGCACACGCTGCGGCAAGGATGAAAACGATGAGATGATTGCTGGAGTCTTGATGACGGTGGTAGAACGGGTCTCGGGGAGCTTGTAATGTCGGCACTGTGGGCTGCCAGTGGGTACTGCCTGCCTCGTTTATTTACATGGATACTGCTTTTTTTTTTCTCCCTTTGGGATTTATTTGTTGATTTTGTTTCGAGAGCGGGGAAAGGGGCTGGGGGAAATGTCAATGCAGTTTTGATTTTTGAAGGGAAGTTGAGATGAAAATGAGGAGAGGAAGGCAGTTTATTTCGCGAATATCTCCTGAGCTAAAAGGTTTAGAGGAAAATGTTGTGGGAAATTTTTGTAGCTTATGAAATTCCCTGGAAAAAAAGTCTGTTGACATTTTTCGATAAATCCACTCATTAGCGAGATAACTCCATCGTTAGAATGATTTGGTTTTTTTTCTCATTTTGGGATTTATTTATTGATTTTGCGAATATCTCCGGAACTGAAGGGTTTAGAGAAAAATATTGCAGGAACTTTTTGCAGCTTATGAAATTCCCTAGAAAAAAAGTTTCATGACATTTTTCGATAAATCTACTCATTAACGAGATAACTTCATCGTTAGAATGATTTGGGTTCTGTCTGCCTCGTTTATTTACATAGATCCTGTTTTTTTATTGTTTTGGGATTTCTTTGTTCATTTTTAGAACCGTGGGGAATGATCTAGGTGAAATATCAATGACGTTTTCATTTTTGCAACCAAAATGACAATAAAAATGAAAATGAGGGCAGTGTATTTTGCGAATATCTCTAGAACCGCAGAGTTTACATGAAAATTTTGTGGGAACTTTTTGTAGCTTACGAAATTCTTAATAAAAAAATTCTATTGGCATTTTTCGATAAATCCCCTCGTTAACCAGATTATTCCACCCTTAACTCGACTTACGCGTTTGGATGATGAATCAGTTACGATAATTCCAACGAAATTAATATCAAAATTGACATATAAAATTATTGAAATTCCAGAGCACAACGAAGACAAGAAGGAATGGTGTACGTTAGCCTATTGGGAGCTCGGTGGTAGAGTGGGAAGGCTCTATCCAGTTGAAGCATCAACGATAAGTGTCTTCGACTCACTCCACGATGGTGATGGCCTCTGTCTCGCAAGCCTCGCCCAGAATCACGGATCCTCGGCAGCAGTTCGAAGGACACGACAGAAAATTGGCCTAGGTAAACCGAATATTGCGTGCCACAAATCCCTCATTCATCCTCGAGCAAAATATGCAAATGATACCCCTGTCTTCTCCACTGGTCCCCCCCCCCTCTCAACCCCTCGACATCTCCCGGCATCTTATCTCCTTATTTACCTCTCATTTTTATCTCTCGTTACCTTTTGCTCGTGATTTTTCANCTCATTTTTATCTCTCGTTACCTATTGCTCGTGATTTTTCAATGATAAACTTTCCTGATTTGTTTGAAAATATTTTTAGTGGTGATTACTCCGAGAATGCCGCGAGGTAATTACGTTTTCGACAGAATTTATTGGTTCTTCTGCTGATGATTTCTTCAATTACAATTCAATTGATTGATTCATTCGCGTTTCGACGGAATTGCGATTGATTCTTATGACTCGCGTGACATATTTGGCGGGTATGAAAAACCAAGGCATTCGGTGAATTCGAAATCCTTCAGTATTATCATCGCAATAATCAAGTTGTTGGATTTCAATAATTTGTTGATTCACTCGTCAAGACCATTCTATGGACATTGACAATAGGACGGAGGCGAATTTTGAGATAAAGAGGACAACAAGTATCTCTTCGAAATGGCGATCGTTTAAAAATTCAACGTGATCGAATCAATCCTTGCGTCACAAATTCAATGGTTTTAGTTTTAAAAATTGTTTCGAGTTTTTTTTGTCGGCTTTTCGTTTAATATAAAAGGCACAATGTTTCACAGAGGCGACTTCTATGCTTTCTATAGACTCTCTTTGTGATTTTTCAATTCGCGATCCTATTTTTACACGAGCATTACACGTCTGCATTTACAGTCTTTCATTTATTCAATTATTTTCAATTCTGTGGAGAAGTGGTGGAGAGATTTATCGTGAATATCTCGGAAACAATTGGGTTTAGGTGAAAATGTCATCAGACATTTTTCGCAGGACATTGAATTCTCTACAGAAAGTGTCGTCTCCTCTGCTTCACCACTTCACAACAGAGCCATTTCTTCATATATTTCTCTACAAATTTATTGATACTCGAGCAAGCGAGTGGTCCTGAGCCTAAAACTTCACTCTGAGCCTCAGTGCATTGGAAAATTTATTTCTTTATCAATTATTGTAATTAATTATCCTAAAAATTAGTCACCAAGTCCTTTGAAATTTCCTCCTCTTCCCTTCCCCTCATAATTAAATAATTAATTAACAACTCATCATTTTCTTCACCTGTAGATGAAAAAAAAAATTATTTTCATCGTTTTTAACAAAAATATTTGTTCCAGGTCTGATGTTAAGTCAAGAATCAGATGGCGTATGGGCGTACAACAGGTCTGACACCCCAATATTCGTAAATTCACCGACCCTCGACGATCCAGAGTCCCGCACTCTCCTGGTATACCGTGTCCCCCCTGGATTCTGCCTCAACATTTTCGACAGATCAAAGAGGCCGAATGTACGTCTGTCCTACGGTGATTCATTGAATTCCACTGGTCCTGTTGATGCCAATTCCGTACGAATAAGTTTTGCCAAGGGCTGGGGCCCCAAGTACTCGAGACAAGAGGTGACATCGTGTCCCTGCTGGCTAGAAGTGCTACTAGCGCCCTGCAGGTGATCAACGAATTGTTTATTGTTATGTCTATTGTCTGGTAATGAATATTGACAAATACCAACGCCATATGTGCCTTCCCTACCCCCCCAGACTCAGTGGAGAACATTCAAGTGAATTATTGATTACACATTGTGGGGGGAATTGGTGGAGATTGTGGAGTATTCTGTAAATATCTTCTGAATTAAGAGGTTTGGAGGAAAATGTCACGGGAACTTTTTGAAGATAATGAAATTCTCTGCGAAAAATGTTTAGTGACATTTTCCCGTAAAACCACTCATTAATGAGATAATTCCATCCTTAAGTCGTGATTCGGATTTGGTAATCGAGAACGAGCGAAATGAGGGCAGTTTATTTTGCGAATATCTTCTGAGTGAATAGGTTTAGAGGAAAATCGTGTGGGAACTTTTTGTAGTTTATGAAATTCTCTGTAAAAAATGTCTTTTCATATTTTTTGATAAAACCACTAATTAATGAGGTATAATCTCTTCTCCACCAATTCACCAAACAAAATGATTTTCAAAGTGAAGCTATGCTACGTCACAAATGCAGACGTAGTCAGTCAGCCTCATGCCTTTTCGCATTTCAATGACGAAATGATTGTTTTTTTTATTGTTATATAAAAAAATTAAACACAATAATGTCGAATCCACAAATAATACCACAAATGGATGGATAATTGACTGCTCGAATAAGCTTGGTACCTCATTGTTCTAGCTTTTTCTTATTTTTATTTCAATTGATTTATTGTGTTGCAGTCTATATTTTCAACGACTAAACGCAATTGATTTATTTGTTCGTTTAAGGATAGAATTTTTAATTAATTCTAACACAAAAAATGAAGTAAAGAGGTTTTTTTTTCTTTTTGTTATTTTATAAAATACAAATGATAAAACGCACGATTTATTGACGATAAAATTTGTAAAAAAATGATATATCGTGCGATTATTTTAATTTATTAAGAATTTTGTAGAACACGAAATTAATATTCGTTTGTAAATAAATTTTATTTATACGTAGATCAATAAAACGCGACGAATAAAGTGATTATGGAGTTTATGAATTGTATCATTTGGTGACTGAGCGTGTGAATGAGATGTGAAACCTTCGGTTACCCTGTGGAGTATGTCAAAGTGAGTTTTTATCATTTCTTTTTCAACTAATGACTGTATCATTGGGGAAGAACGAAAGACGAGCCATATTAAATTGCGAATATCTCGAGAACGAGTGGATTTATAAAAAAATGTCATAAAACATTTTTTCTGGAGAATTAAATTTCCTACAAAAAGTTCCTCTGATGTTTTTCTCTCAGTCTGATAGTTTTCGAGATATTCGCAAAATATTGAATACAAATTTGGATTCATCTCTCGTTCTTCACTGGTGATTTCTCTTTTTCGTTACATATTATTGTATAACATACATGAGATGTATGTTTTCACGCTTCCGATACGAGAATTGATGAAATACGTCTGGCCGAAGAGTTGCGTCACCGTGCCATTGCTATGATAATTAATTGCGATAATTGAAGTAGAGTTTCTAGGGAAAATGATGAGAAATAAATTTTCCAATGCCTTTGGAGCCACTGCTGGCTCAGAGTGAAGTTTTAGGCTCAGGACCACTCGCTTGCTCGAGTATCAATAAATTTATATAGAAATATATGAAGAAATGGCTCTGTTGTGAAGTGGTGAAGCAGAGGAGATGACATTTTCTGTAGAGAATTCAATTTCCTGCGAAAAATGTCTGATGACATTTTCACCTAAACCCAATTATTTCCGAGATATTCACGATAAATCTCTCCACCACTTCTCCACAGAATTAAAAATAATTGAATAAATGAAAGACTGTAAATGCAGACGTGTAATGCTCGTGTAAAAATAGGATCGCGAATTGAAAACCACAAAGAGAGTCTATAGAAAGCATAGAAGTCGCCTCTGTGAAACATTGTGCCTTTTATATTAAACGAAAAGCCGACAAAAAAAACTCGAAACAATTTTTAAAACTAAAACCATTGAATTTGTGACGCAAGGATTGATTCGATCACGTTGAATTTTTAAACGATCGCCATTTCGAAGAGATACTTGTTGTCCTCTTTGTCTCAAAATTCGCCTCCGTCCTATTGTCAATGTCCATTGAATGGTCTTGACGAGTGAATCAACAAATTATTGAAATCCAACAAATTGATTATTGCGATGATAACACTGAAGGATTTCGAATTCAACGAATGCCTTAATTTTTTATACCTGCCAAATATGTCACACGAGTCATAAGAATAAATCACACTTTCGTCGAAGCGCCAATTAATTAATTGGACTGTAATTAAAGAAATGGGAAATTAAAAATTCAGTGGATTTTTTCATTCTGTCAACGACGTGATCATCTCCGTGATGAGTAATTTTCCCGTATCACCGAGATAAATCAACAATTGATAAAAAACTATCTTTTCCCACTTCACTGCAAAAATAAGTAAAAAAACTTGTTGAAAACAATTTGATAAATAAAACTACACCAGCAATTTCATACATCGTATGTGTACATAAAACGGGGCTATACTCTATTGTAAATCAAACATTTTATTAACATTAATGCTAGTGACTAAACCATTATAACGAATGATTACCCCTATCTGATACAATAAAGTGTTTTTAGAATAAAAAAAACAGACAAAAGTCATTTTTCAACGGAATTGACGTCTATTTCATTGCATGACTATTCCCAGAATATCCGACGAATCCCCCGCGCCCAAAATCCCGCTGCGCATGCGCAACTCGTCAGCGGCGCCTGTCCAAGATGGCGGCCAGCCTGTGGCACTGAGACGCCAACTTTGGCGTTCTCCCCGTATTTTCGAGGAAAACAAGTCTAAAATCGTCGATATATTCATTAAAACTATATTAATTAACCTCTCGTAACGACCAGTAACGACTCTATAATGAAATTACGGGGTTTTCTGGTGCATTGAGACCGCTAGAACAATGTGAAAATTTCACTCGTCGGAAATCTCTCATCTCTACAAGGCCGACATCTTTGCAACGTCACAAGATGGCGGCTCCTGGTGATTCCGAACAAAGATTAAAATCTAGTTAATTAATTACTTAATTAATTGGTGAGAAAAAGACGAGTAGTGAGACTTTATCAGTGAATTTGTGGTTGTGAAAAGTGAAAGAGTATCCGGGAATTTTGTCATTGTCGGTGGGCTGATTAATCCACAAGATGGCGGCCGGCCTGTGGCACTGGGACGCCAACTTTGGCGTTCTCCCCGTATTTTCGAGGAAAACAAGTGTAAATCATGGATATATTCATCAAAACTATATTAATTAACCTCTCGTAACGACCAGTAACGACTCTACAATGAAATTAGGGGGTTTTCTGGTGCATCGAGACCGCTAGAACAATGTGAACATTTCACTCGCTAAAAATCTCTCGTCTCTACAGGGCCGACATCTTTGTAACATCACAAGATAGCGTCTGCTTGTGATTCCGAACAAAGGAAAGTGCTTCGTACGTTCTAGTGAGTGGATTAAAATCTAATTAACTAATTGATTGATTAATTGTTGAAAAAAGAACATGAGACTTTATTAGTGAATGTGTGGTTGTGAAAAGTGAAAGAGTGTATCCAGGAGTTTCGTCATTGTCGATGGGATGATTAATCCGCAAGGTGGCGGCTTTCGTCTGCTAAACGCCGCTTTTTCTGGAATTGATACTCTTGTCGGCGGAGGATTCAAACGCCCGCAAATTGAAAGTAATTGATTCGAGAGGAGAGAGCTGGCGGAGCGGTGAGTGATTTCAATTATCATTTGTTTTGTTTTTCGTCTTCTGCGCTACGCAGGGCGACACAGCAATATTCGGGAACTAGACTAGTGTTTCTGAATCTAATTGCGTGCGAAAACTGAATTCACGATCTTCTCATCCTCTGGGGACGTTTGGAGTTCGTTATTTTCGTTTAAAGAAATTTTTTGTGAGGATTTTTGAGAATGAGACAATTTTGCATTGAGTGAGCAGACAATCTCTCGCGTCTAATGATGAACTTCTTTATTCAATACAAATTTTATAAAAAAAATATCTCGTATCTTTCGTCCAATATTCTTAGGTCTTTTGCAATTACCAAGTTTCGCGTCGTAAACTCGAATTAATAGTCAAATTTAAAGTGATGAGAGTGACAGATGGTTAACAATGCAGGGGATGAACATCGTATCGATGATGGAAGATAATTTATCCATAAGTACTTCGATGATTCTAGACAATGGAATGGAATTCTCGTGTTGCCAGTGAACATAATTCACCTCGGGATGATGAAGAATAGGGGAATAACGTTTTGATTTTCTTCTGTTCATTTTGAAATGTCCCTAGTGGTTTTTTGATAAATGGTATCAGGCGATGAGTAGAAAGTCCTCGTGAATCTCTCAGGATCTTGAATCTCTGCTCTCGAGGACCTATAGCTATTCCATTGGACAATCAGGTTTTCGTGGCTGGGGGCAACATGAGTGTCAGTGCAGCTCCAGCTAGTTCAACAAAAAAAAAATTCACGAGTTCTCTTTAATGTCTCCGAATTTTTTGGTGTTTTCCGTTGGCTTTCACTCGAATTTTAAACTTACATAGGACAATCCCAGCGACTAGAATGATCGGGACTTCACAGCTTATGTCGAGTAGCATTCCAAATGCAAGATTACTGGCGATTGCACCGACCCTACCGAAGCAAGTCATCATGCATATCGCAATTGCTCCAACGTACGTTGGAAAAATGTCCACTGTGACACTGCTAATAACGAAATTGGCTGCTGATACTGTTAGGGAGTAGATGCAGGACACTAGGAGAATTTGGGTGGAGGTCTCTGTGAAGTATATCGCCAGTCCTGATACTCCGGCAAATAAAGTCAGGGTAACTGTAGAGGGAAAGATCATCATCGAATCAGTCATGAGTCCATAGGAAATTTTCAAAAGCTCTTTTATGGGCAGAGGATTTAAATTCTTGGGGGAAAGGCCTTTCGATATTTTTCTTCAAGGATATCCAAGTACTTTGGCAATTTGTTTTCCAGTGAAGTACTTTCACAAGTGCTCGGATATTTTCCCTCATTCACGCATTCAATTGGTATAAAAATGTTATGAATGTTGTACCTGGGAGTGTTCTTCGTCCCACACGATCAGCAAAGAACCCAGACATGATATTTCCCAAGAGACAGACCGCGTTGACAATGAGTGTGTTGATGAACACATTTTCGTCGATTACTATCTCCTCGCAATTTATCACATCTGCTTTCACTGTTTCGTTCAACGACACCAATTGGCATACACTCACGGATGATATGTTCGGGTGGGCCCGGTAGAAGTTTTCGAAACGATTGAATAGCTCCGGGAGCCACAGGCCCAAACCATAGAATCTGTCGAGTAATTTTTCATTGAGGAAATGTAACAGAGCAGATCTAGTTGATGCTCAAATGCAAATTAAGAGGCCTTTGAGTAAAAAAAACACTAGACGTGAAAAACTTTGTGAGATAAATTCTCAGGGGGCTTAAGAAATTGTTCTTTTTAAGGTTGATCTGAATAGAGATCCGATCAATTAGAGATCCCTCATGTATAGATATTCCAAATTTTTATTTTTTTCCTCATTGAAGTATTTTTGAAAAAAATTGCGAGCTAATAAAAAACATTTGCTAGTTAGTACTTTTTTTAAAATAAATTTTTGAAAAATCACCCCTGAAAAAAAGGCGTTATCCTCCCTATTTCATTATTTCCAAAAAATTTTATCACCAATCGGTAGCAAATTGTTTGAAGATTTTTGCGAGTTGAGAAAAAATCGTCAATGCACTCCTATTATTGTGTAAATTAACAATTCCAATTTCAACTGAAGGCCCGAGTTGAAGACCCGAGTTTGTAGCAGCGATGTCAGACAAGATATGAATGTTTTCTTGGGCTCAAATGAAAGCTCGGGTCGAGAAATGACGTGCTAGAGCCTCTAAACATGACAAATGTCTCTAAAGATGATATCTGTTTTCAATTGAAAAGCAGAGTTGTGACGTCATTGTCTACGAGGATAATGGGGTCTAGGAGTATGTATAGAACATTGGGATCTAGGCGTCTCCCCTGGTTCAAAACCATCTTTAGAGGT